ATTAGACCCCCAAAACAGGTTTTAACAAATTGTAACTTTAATTTTACCTTTACCCCAAAAAAGTAAAGCGGCCCCCTGCCCCAAGCAAAACATAATTACGATATAAACAAAATCACCCCCGAAAAGAAATTAGTGTTACTTTACCTCCCCCCCCCCCCCCCAGCTAATTAACCGGCTCTATGATTCGCTGCATAATATTTCCTCACAAATCGGACCTAAAAAAAAAAAAAAATGTGCTATTAGTTTAGATGTTATAAACAATTAAGATCTGCATTGCTCGAACTGTTCTTTTCGACTTTACGAGTCAATAGGAATATACAAAACTTCTTAGAACTTCTTAAAACTTACCAACAATTGTGCGAAAAATGAACATACACTGGGGTCTTCTGGGTTTCTTTGAGGATAAACTGTAGAAAATAAATATATAACTGACGAATGCTAAATTTGCTGTAGGAGATACAGCAGTGCTGATGGGATATCGTGCAATGAATGCATTTGCCACATGCCATTCGTTTGGTGGGTCGTAGGCCTATGTGCATGAACTTTCCTGGTAAGGTGACCTCTCCCTCCCTTTTGACTCTCATCTCTCTCTCTCTCTCTCTCCCTCTCCCCTTCACCTTTTCACTCTCGCCTCTCTCACTCTCTCTCTTTCCCTCTCCCTCCCTTCACATTTTGACTCTCGCCTCTCTCTCTCTCTCTCTCTCTTTCCCTCTCCCTCCCTTCACATTTTGACTCTCGCCTCTCACTCTCTCTCTCCCTCTCCCTCTCCCCTTCACATTTTGCCTCTCGCCTCTCTCTCTTCCCCTCTCCCCTTCACCTTTTCACTCTCACCTCTCTCACTCTCTCTCTCCCTCTCCCTCCCTTCACCTTTTGACTCTCATCTCTCTCTCTCTCTCTCTCTCTCTCTCTCTTCCCCTCTCCCCTTCACCTTTTCACTCTCGCCTCTCTCACTCTCTCTCTCCCTCTCCCTCCTTTCACCTTTTGACTCTCATCTCTCTCTCTCTCTCTCTCCCTCTCCCCTTCACCTTTTCACTCTCGCCTCTCTCACTCTCTCTCTCCCTCTCCCTCCCTTCACCTTTTCACTCTCGCCTCTCTCACTCTCTCTTTCCCTCTCCCTCCCTTCACCTTTTGACTCTCGCCTCTCACTCTCTCTCTCTCCCTCTCCCCTTCACCTTTTGCCTCTCGCCTCTCACTCTCCCTCTCCCCTTCACCTTTTGACTCTCGCCTCTCTCACTCTCTCTCTCTCTCTCTCTCTCTCTCTCCCTCCCTTCACCTTTTGACTCTCGCCTCTCACTCTCCCTCTTTCCCTCTCACTCCCTTCACCTTTTGACTCCCGCCTCTCTTTTCAAGGATGCTGTTCAATGGTATAACCACGATACCAATATATGCATATTATTTCATTTCTGTATTCTTTTACCTAGGGTTGAATACAGATAGCGGATTAATGTTATCTCATTTTACCAAACCAAGGTGAAACTATTGCTTCTCCTACCCTCTCCTTTTCCTTCCTTAATTCCCCATTTTGCTTTTTGTCATGTTCAGGTAATTCTATAACTTGAGCTGTAAATGGTTTTTAATCAAGACTCCCCCCCCCCCCCCCAAGAACACTAAACTTTGATGAATAATTGCATGATGGCTCGATATAAATAAATAACAATAACACCATCATGATAGTTAAATTAACACAATGAACTGATAAAGAAAACAAAGTTAAAAGTTACCACCTTGGATTTCTGAAACAACCTTTATTTCAAAACACAAATACCTCGCAGAGCAAGTGTCTTCTATTACCTCTAAATGCCTCATGAATATAAAAAATTTTACACAACTATTTGCAATATAAAACAGTCAGACCCAATATATCAAACTGGATTCACAACAATATTGCTCCAAACTAAACTGAAAACTGTCACATACATGTATTCATACATTGAAGATAATTTAGATATCAAAAGAGCGGTGTGCGTTACGAGCTACATGATAACGTGTTAAATAAACAAAATACATCAGGTTTATACAGATATACACACATACACAGCAGAACGAGAAGCGGGAGAAGCAGAGGAGGAAAAGGGGGAGACGGCGATAACGGAGAAGGCGATGAAGAGAAGAAGAGGTAGAAGAGAAGAAAAAAAAAACGATAATAAAAAAGAAGAAGTGTAGGAGGAGGAAGAAGATGGAGAAGAAAAGAAAGTAGACAAAGAAGAAGAAGAATAACAAGAAAATGGGGAGGAAGACAAAAAGAACATTAACAGTAAAGTGAATAACAGAACAGTGTATAACATACAACATCAATATCTTCTTCTTTGGAAGCTTTTGGAAATTATCTTTGGCTAACAAAATGTATACAATTACAAGTCAGATATAGTTTCATTCCAAAAGGAGCTTAATCTACTTCAGGTACTTCTGAGTAAATTGCCTTTTTTCACCACTTTCCCTTTAGCCAAGCACCTTCATGTTATTACTAATGTAATAAAGGGGTGGTTAAACTGGTTCTTTTAAACTTCAGAAAAAATGAACTGAAACAAATAATTCAATATAAATTTAAACAACACTTAAGTACAGCACGTAGACACAAACTCAATGAAAAACAGTTACTCGTCATTATGGATTGACTGATATTGATGGTGCACCTGAAGTATTGAAAACTATCGATCCTTTTGTCTACAATCAAGTTAAGAAATCTATCGTGAATATGAGATCAGAAAAGTCGATTTGATTTACAGGGTATACTGTAAAGGTCAAAATCACCAAAACTGAATATGCAATAGATTATAAATAAATGACATTAGAATATAAAAAGCGTAAAGAGATCTTGTAATTTTGTTCAGATTTGACTGAATAAATTGATACATTTTTTTTTTTTTTTTTTTTTTTTTTTTTGCTACACAAATAATTAACATCGGCATGTGTCTCTTCATAATACTAAAGTTAACGTCTACCACCATACAAACCTGTGTATGCTCAGTATTAACTTTTGTAGACAGTTGTCAAAATACAGAGATACATTCATTGATGGTTTCCTGTATATAATTTATACAATATATTACGTCTAAGCATGTTAATTGACATACAAAGTGAGTCATAATTACAAGATAGTTATATAGCATATCGTTACGTATTACAAAATATACAAATTCAATAACTATAGAACAAGATTTCAGCCTTTTATTTATTAGCGGTCAGAATGTACAAAAGAATAACCAGGTGTATTTAACAACAAATGTGTGCCCTCATAAAACCCCGTTTTTAGAGAAGATCTAAATAAAGAGGTGTTAAACAAGGTAGCTAATGAGTTAGCCTTTAACTTCAATATAAAATAATGTTGCCAGACTACACTACCCACTAGAAGTTAGCTTTTGTGTAGAGTTCCAAGTGCCTATGTTTTTCTAATTTTAAGTTTTGTTTTGTTGTGGTTGTTATTTTTGGGAGATCACAGTAAGCTTTTTTGTATTGATACCTAAACAAAATAAAAAAACAGGATATGCATAATTGATAAGCAATTTTTTTCAGTTCAATCTCATATTTCATTCACATTTATTTCTACAGAGGTATAATCTCCCTTCTTTTACATTGCACATACTTGGGGAGTTAGAGTGTACAACTCTTTTTATTCTAAAATAAATTTTATTTTTGATAGGTCATTCTCCTCCTTTATTAATGAGCTAGGAACGTTTAATCATGATGAGTTATATATCATTCAAGGGTGAGAATCTACTCTTTAAAAAACCAGACTGAAACTTAAAACAAATAAAAAAATAATTCTGGCTACTTTTTGTTGGATTTGTGGTACTGGTCACATTTTCTTCTAGTGTCCCCCTGCTTCAAATGAACATCTGGTTGTTGCAAGATATGCAACTAAAATAATTAAAAGTGTTATTTTGATTGTCAGTGTCACTGCACAGGACAGCTTACCAAACAACATATTCCACGTGGATTTCGCTGTCTCCTCCTCTTTGCCGTTTTCCCCATGGTGTTCATCGGAAATAAATAGTACACGTCCTATTGAGTGGATTGTAAGTACAATGTAACATTTTAAGTCATATCACACGAGAGGAACTAAAATTAACTTATATTTAGTTAAAGGGATAGTTGAGTTCTGTTTTCAGACCGCAAATGTCTTCAAAATGCATGTTTATTGCTCTTATTCTTATCTATGACATTTATAGTGCCCTTTTAGAACTTAACATTGCTATAAATGTAATGTTAGACCCCAAAATGTATGAAATTTAGCCAACACGATCATACCAATTCAGCTCCACTTAAAACAAAAACACGGTGACTGCTTATTAATTAAGCATAACAATACATAAGCCGGCTAATTGTGGGTAATATAAGCAACACGAAAATGCCAACAAAAAAGCCAACATCGGCATTGGCTGAAATACGATGTTAAAGGCGTTATTTCGTTTTTTCAACGGTTTTTTTTTCAATTTTTTTCAAAATATCTAATATTTGTGGTGGTACACAAGTATTAGAAATCGTTATATTTCAGCCGTCTCTGAACCGATTTCGATCAAACAAAGAAGATTTTGCTATTTAAATATTATGTTCTTTCAAATTTGACACTCAGTTTTTCATTATCTCACCAAAAAAAATTGTGTGTAGCGCCCTCTGCAACAGAACTCAACTTTCCCTTTGTTTGAAATGGCTGTAGCATAGATCTTTGAATTTCATTATTTTTATTAATATTGTTATTATTTTGTATAGAAAATAATTGTTAAATTATACCGATATTCTATTAAAACAGGGGGGGGGATGTTCGTAACCGTTAGGTTCTAGAGATTCGGCATTCTTTAATGTCATAACACTCGATGATTGAATACCTACCAGTTTTGATGGCATAAACGATGATGATGATGAAAAAGATCACTTCTGTTGTGAGGTTTATCCATACCATCCATAATCCTGAAGGCGTGTGCCTAAAGTTGGTGTCTGTATTGATAAAAGTAAACATAAGGCAAATCAAATATTTGATACAAAGATTCGTCGTCGTCGTCTTACGAGTCATGAATAACGCTTGTGACCATATCAATGATTACGTTCCAACCACGTCTGTCCTGGGTATAGCGATGAGCTGTGCAGATGTTCATGCCAGTAATCTCTTTTATTCCATCAGCCCATCGAACTTTTGGCTTGCAACGTCTCCGTTGACCCTCAACATGACCTCGGGTAATGATCTTCTCCAGGTTGTCACCTTCTATCCTATAAATGTGTTCAAAATATTGCAACTTGTTCTTATCTTTGTTCTGGCATAGAGTGACATCTCCTTACATGATGAGAGATTAAAATTATATGTTTTGAACCTTATCTATTGTATTGTTTATTGAATGTAGTACGACCCATTTGTAGGCCAAACATGAAAAGATTAAATTCAAAAGGAATTTGAAAGATAATAATAATAACTTTTCTCAAAAAAGAAGGGATTGAAAAGGTTTTTTGGTTGGGAATATAGCAGCCGGATCGAATTTAGCTAGCGCGCTCGTTTAATATAATAGTCTGATTTGTAGACCTTTGTACCGAATGGTTGTACGTTTTGTGCTGCGTAAAGATTCAATTAGGTTAATACTCTTGGCCAGTGCAAGAAGCGGGTTATTGATGTAGACAAATGCTCATGAACTGTCTACAACTCATGTCATGTATATTTTTGTTTACAACAGATGGAAAATTAAGTCCGTTACTATATAGTGTCTGACAGTGAAGTTTACAAAGTAAACGGGTTTCCTTGCATAATTAAGATACTAGGACACTGCTAACGTTTACTTTTCACATATAGGACGTACGTGTCATATTTATAATTCCTGCAAAGTTCTACATAATTTAATGTTGGTTGTAGAAGGTTTACACTATCTTTAAGTTAAGAAATATGTACATTATAACTATTATATATATATATATATATATATATATATATACGTTTGAAGGCAACGGAAACTTAAAGGCCTCCTAAGAAACAAACGGTTTAATCATTTGTTATTACACTGTCGCTCATAACGCCTTGAGCCATAATGCATGGCCGTCCAGAGGATTTTTTATGTTGGGGACCGGGGTAAAATGCAATAAATTATTGAAAATTTATTGCATTTTCTATGTGTTTTTTTATTTATGGAAACTGCCCCCTACCCTAGCCCCCGCTGTGTACATTCATGGTTCAGTGACAAAGCAATGGCCTCGTAACTGTGAGGCCCCAGGATCAACACCGTGTCGATGTGCTATATTAGTGCCCTTTTGTGGGGCATTAATCCTCATTACTTTCATTTATGACTTAAGGGCATAGGTCCCCTAGTTGATAAGCATAGTAGCATGTACATGCTTTAGCAGTCACGCAAAACACACTTTGGCAAATTATTATTCAATAAAATCTGAGAATGTATACTATTATCTAGATCTATTATTTTTAAATTATTTTTAAAATAATTCCATAAATTGGGATAAAAAAAAAATATTCCACCTTTATGAGCGACAGTGTAGTTTAATTAGTTGTATTGTTTTTAATTTGGGGTAAGGTTATTTACCAGTTTTTATGATGTCCGGTTAATGTACCATTTAGGGTTATATATAGATATCCTGTTGATACAACATGTAGGGATGTATATATATATGTATACATATATTTATATATAATGTGTGTGTAACATGTATAAGCTTACGTGTCTTGTTCTTTTCCGTCGTATTCTCATCTTCAGGCTGACCAAGGATGTCATCGTCAACGATAAACAGGCCTAGGGAAGCTATACTCTTGAAGTTCAAAGCTGAGTACAGGCACTCTATGGTTGTATCCTTCTCGTTAGCTGGAAACAAATGGGTAACAGCTGTGTTGTATGTTCCATCACTGTTGTTAGATGCAGTTCTTTTCCCTTCTTTGGTTGTGAATATTGGGAAGGTCATCGGGAAGACGTTACTTATGGAGCAGGTCACGTTGAAGCCATTGTTATGCCGAATGTACTTGATCACAGGAGAGCTTTCCGGTTTGGCTGGAAGAAAGAAAAACAAATGTCTGTATATAAACGTGTGTACATGTATATACACACAAATACAATAAATGTGTATGGTAAGCACATACATGTAAAAAGACTAAGGAGACAAGGAAGTACCTAGATTAAGTGCAATCTTCATGAGGAAATAGCTGTGAAGGGAAATCATATGCGTGGCATTTATAGGCAGTTATATTTTCTTTCTACAAGTGGTTACTATGGTATATATATTTATATAGTACGCAGATAAACATTGCATTGCGAATACAATTATTGAAAAATACGTACCCAAGCTTCATCTTTATTTGGACGTAAAGCAAAGATTATTAATATCTCACTAAAGACCTTTTTTCATTTGTTTCGGTAGCGGAGTTGTTTTTAAGGTAATATTCTTCTGGGAAATTCGAGCCGTCCCAATAATAACACAACTCTCTGCAGACCTTATCAAAGGAAAACGCCCCAAATATATAGTTCAAATAGAATACGTCCCGAAAGCGTTTCACGTTTTTGGGGGAAAGAGTCATTAACACATTATTTAAATCATGATTAACAAAAGAAAAAGATTAAAATAAGGTATTCACTGTTACACAATTTGAACATGAAAACAAAATAGACCAATCAGAAGTTCGCATTTCATTCGGGGCTCCACGATCGAATTTGAAGGTGGACAAGGTGGGGAACAATGTGCTCTTGACCCGAGTAAAGGCATCGTTTATTAATGTTAAATCTGATATGCACGGCCCTACGTGTTATCAGTGTCCGTGATATGGTATAATATTGAAGCCCTAAAACGCTTCAAAATGATCAAGAAGTGCCTCAAAAGAGATAAAATATTTGAGTAACCGGTTTTACCATGCTCGTTTTCCCCGATAAATTGTAGTGTTATGAAAACCGTTTGGCAAACGCAAAATTTGGTTTCGATTTCGAATCATAAATATCTTGATAATTAGACAGGCGATCGGCTTGCAAAAGTCATGGAGTTCCTGACTGACCTAAAGGTTTATAATTATTATTGCAGCATGAGCTAAATCCAGGATTTTGTTTCAGGTTCTGAGACAAAGTTACCGGATCCCTTTTAACAATAATCTTCATAAAAGTGAATATTTGTAACTATATAAATATATTCTTCTTGGGAATACTGTTCTAATCCACAGGCTCAGAGATGAATTCAAGGACAAACAAGTATTTTCCCTACACACAAATGAATTTAATTTTTTGTAAACTTGCCAGTGCTTTTCGTCAATTTAATACATTATAAATATTTATTAAACGAAAACAATAACAATTTGGCAGTCTCATCCTTCTTTATGAACATGCTTAAATCCTGACAAATGGATACATTTTGACCGAGTTGAACGGATTTCTAAACGCACGTTCGTATCGCCAGTCAGGGGTCAAATCGAGGTCACCGCCGCAGCGAGTTCTATGAAAAAAGCGTCCCCTATTCCCCTTAAGGGCAACTCCACTCCAAACATAACTTACTTTCAATAGAAGCAAACAAAATCAGACGAACGAATAAAAAAAAAGTTGAGCAAAATCTGATAACTAAAAAGAAAGTTATAAATGTTTGATGACATGAAAAACTTTGAATCTAACAAGACAAATTCGCAACTCACTCATGAGTCTTCGACGCCATTGCCTCACTATCCACTAAGTGTTTCCTTTATATTGATAATATAAATTTCCTATTTCCCCCTAAGAATCTTATTCCTTCACACTAGCATCCAACTTAGATTGATAGTAATTCGTTTTGTGTTGATGTACTAATATAGATATTTTTTCAGCGAAGTCATGAAAAATGTGAATTTTTAAAGAACTAATTACATACAAATAAATAATTATGAATAAACAATATATAGAAAATAGTAGCAATTCTTCAAAGTTCATTACAGATTTTGTGAAATGTCATGCACGCAATATGAAAAGAAAAAATATATAACCTGGGCAAAGGCATGGGGAAATCAGGTTTCAGGGGATAAAAAGGGAAATTAATGGGATTAAGATATATAAAGCAATTGATAAATAGTGAGGAAATGACGTCACAAACTGATAACCAAATTGGCGATGTGTGTATTGATTTCTATTGTTCCATTGTTTTACATACTCTATCACGAATTCATAACTTTCTTATTAGTTATCCTATTTTGCTCAAACCTTTTTAGATTGGTTTGTCTTGTTTTTCTGCTTCTATTGTACTAAGTAAGTTATGTGGAGTGGATTTACCCTTTAAACAAAGACCTTGGGTGTGTGGGTACTCATGTGTGTGCGTATTGTTAATATACACAATTTAACATTCTCCCACTACAGTTACACATTCCTAACTTCTTGAAAATTTTCTTATAGACCTTCAATGATTATTGAACAAAAGTTATGAACAATATACACTATAATTCATTTTCAAGAACATTTACTATTTGATTCCCAACAATAATCAATCAACAATGTTAATCTATATGGCAAGTTCACTACGACTTGTGACTTTCTCACTTTGGTATTCACATACATAACAACTATGTGCACAACCAGAGTGCACTGACTGCTGAATACACAGAGAGCAACTTTTGCATTATTGAAACTTGTATACATTTATCATTAGTCTTCACACAGTGATTTGTATACACTTCAATGTGTGAAGGCTGATGATACATGTATAAAACAACATTTTAATTAGCCAATTGATTGACCTCCTGGTTTCCAGAAATTGTATAAACACCTTCTTGACAATGAATCTTTCTTCTTTCTTTCTGATGCAAGCAGGATTGGTTCTTGGCACATCATTATACTTCTTAGAATTAGTACACCCGGCAATAATTTGCATACATGCCCCAAGTCTTTTCCAGTGGGGCCTTTGTTTTTATGTACCTGTGGGCTGGCTGGGTGTAAATGATCAACCGGATATTGACTCATCACAAACTGCTGACTATTAAACAATAATGATACTTTTTTTGTGGAACTAATTCAGGAATAATTTATTTTTGTCCTGACAGACTTCAGACGTCTTGTCTTGTCTGGTGTCATACCGCTTCACTTTGATTACTACACTTTTAATGGTATGTCATCAACAGGACATGCCTTTATGTCGAAGAACCTCAACCTTCCGTTTAAATGCATTTGGATATAATTTTTCGAGTGTCATCTATCTTATATTGACTTAGTGTTGTGGCAGCGAACCTCAAAGTAAATATTCAATTTGCGAAAAGATAACAATGAAAACAAAAAATATATTTACCATATAATTCCAGTTTAACATCATGTTCACACTCAGCAGCACCACCATATGGAGTAACGATACATCTATACAACTCTTGTTCGTGTTGGTCGATTAAATTGACACTGACTATAGTCATGGAGAAGTCATCTTTGATTCCAAACCCCTGTGAACCACCAGTTATTCCTTCAGACCACCATGCAAGTGCTTCTCCGTCCTGTATAAAGGTATTTTGGTTACTGCTTCTGTACCATTGAACACCAGAGGTTGATTCTGGACATATAGGGCAGCTGCATGGTAAGTAAACAGTGGTGTGAAGCTCTACCGGAAGAGGTATGACCTGTGCATTTGTTTCTAAAAGAGAGAAATGGATAATGAATTTACATATTCCAAGATGTTTATAATAGTGGAAATAATTAATATAGATAACAACGCCACTACCACCACCACCACTACCAATTCATTAACTATTACAACAATAACAACAACAATAATGGTAATAATGATATTTATCGTAATGATAATAACAATAATAATAATGATAATAATAATAATAATAACAATAATTATAAGCGTGCTGGCATTATAAGAAATATATTCTTGCCATGTACTTGGTCAAGTGTTGCAAATATAAATTAATATGTCTCGACAAAAGACCTAAGTGATCAGTGTGGTTTACAGTCCAGTAACTAATCTGCTAGACAAAAAAAAAAAAACCTGTTCATACCTTTGTTTAAAATAAAGTTTACTTTTAGATCTTAGTAAAATTTGAATAATGATGCAAAGCTAATGAATCACAGACAAAAACATCGCAATTACGAGAAGCACTGCATTGAGCAGAAATATAGCTCGTACAGTGGAAGTCGTACATAAATTGCGGTCGGAATGCATGGAATGCGCAATACAGTCAGAGACGCACATGCACATATCGAAAAAAAAAAAAAAAAAACATACAAACAAATAGACAACATGTGTATGATCAAGAATATACACGGATATTTCGCAGTCGGTTTGTCTGAATATCAAATACCTGTTTGTACAATGTAAACTAAAGCAATCAGGAAAAGTTCTAATGCCGATGTCGCCATTTTTTATTGATAATTACACCCACTGCGATTTTCCAATGGAAGTTTTTTTCGACTGTCCTATCGTAGTCTTTTTCATCTTCGGAAACAATTTTTGTTTCCATTATACATGTACATAAACAAAACTTAAATATTGTCACGTTATTGTCGAAATTATTTCATTATTTTCAAATAATGTGTTTAGCTGGGTGCACAGGTACCGTATGATACTTTGACGTTGGCGACAATTGGTAATAGGGCAGAAATGCATATCACACGTAACATATGTCATAACGCATGCGCGGAGTCAGCCCTAATTCCAGGCTGAAGCTGTATTGATACTCAACAGAATGTGCAATAATACAATGCCATATAGTGTAGGGTCAAAGTAAGAAAAGCCCGGTCTGTTGGCCCTTACTTCAAAAACTAAGTACGCCTTTGTTGTTTGAAAGATTTGTATCATAATACACAATTTTTCAGAGGTGTTTTTTTTCCTTCCTTTTTAGCGGTTACCCCTAAAACGAGTTGTTAACAAAATATTTTGTCTTCAATGTACAAGTAAATGTTGAAAAACAATAAATAAAAAATAGGGGGCGTTTGAAATGTAATGTGATCAAAGATATATTTTTACATATTTTTGTTCAATATATATATTCTATTCCCAAAAATTATCTGCATTGATTTTTATTTGTATACGCATTTTGAAATAATGATTTTGGTAAAAAAAAAAAAAATCTGAATATTTCAAATTAAATTTCTAATAATTCTTCAAATCGCACTATGTATTGACAACGTTCTATGCAACATGTTCTTATTCAAAATTAAATGAACTGATACTCCGATGCAACTCTCCAAGCCGATCAGTGTACCACCAAAGGATGGAGAGAAAAATTATAAGAGGGTCTTCAACGCACATCCACGGAAATTGAAGTGAAAAGTTCACCAAAACAGTCATTACAAAGAAAATGGTCCACGAAACAATTCACTTACCCATTACGTCCATCACAAACAAAGATTTCTTCTTTAGAGGCAATTGAGAATTTTTCTTATTTGTGATATATCAATTTAACATACCTAAGTTGCAGTCAACTCCAGCTTCCTCCTTGTCGATCGAATGAAAATACCACGAATAGGCACTTTCAGATGTAATTGCTCGGTTAAAACATACACGAAATCATAAAGCTCCGATAGTCTCATTTTCGCTCGCTGGGTCTGCTGCAGCACAAACATATCTCTCTCGACGTCACTACCAAACGAGCCAATCAGCTGGCACTGGCGTCATACTGCATGCGGCGGCGAATATATTTTGTGTAATTATGGAGCAAATTACTATTTCTACTCTCAAACTAGTTTTCTTTGTGCATGAAAACGCAGCCATTGTGATCTAGCAATGCAATGAAGACCTCAGGATAGGATAGGTAACGTCTTATATTATTTACGAGGTTCATTTTGCAGATAAATTCTCCATTTCTAAAAATGTTCCGCTGTTTTGCTGGGGGTATGCTATTGGGTGTAATGCTTTTGGGGGATACGCTCCTATACGTCTATTTACTATTGTATAGTCACATTGAAACAATGATCTTGATAACAGAAAAATAGACGCTATTTGTGTGAACTATTATTGCAAAAGCAATGAATGAACGTTCAAAGAGACAGTAGACCATCGATACAAAGAGCGTGGATTCTACAGACTGAGACTCATTGATGTAGACATTATAGCACGACTCGATCGTTGCAGTGCTTATTCAACATCCACTCAAAAGACGTAGCAAGGAGAACTGTTTCAAGTCACGATGACGTTACCATGGTCGTAGTCATCATTTATAAAAACAGATCAGCAAAAACGTTTCATTGTGGATGTCATATTAATAGGCGCCGGAAGTGTGTGTGGGGGGGGGGGGGGGGCAGGGGGGGGGGGGTGGGGCGGGCAACCCAATCTAAAAAATGGGGGGGGGGCAAAACGCATTTTTGCCCCCCAAAACGCCCCCCCCCCCCCTAAAAAAAGCAGTAAAGGAGTAAAGATGGTTTTTATTTTTAACCCAAAAGAACATAACAATAATAAAAAAAATAATTAAATGACGTATAAAGTTCTATTCAAAGAAAAGGAAAGTTAACAGGAATTAAATTTCCTAAACATTGCGCATGCTGCCTATATTTATTAATGGAGGTTTTAATAATAGCGCGCGCATACCGTGGATATATTGTAAGAGAATAGTAAAGCGTGTCTTTTTTTTTTGTTATAGGGGTGAGAAGCTCATGAGCCCCAGACTTGGTGGTGGTAAATCAAGTCTTTATTAGAGATCATGTACACAAAAACCAGGTCCGTCAACCCAGTGGGTTAGGTGGCAGGTTATAATGAAAATACATACAATAGCAAAGTACATTAACAATAACAATACAAGTTACAGTGTAATAATATATGTGATAACAAGGAGCACCGGGATAAAGAGAGAGGGAAAAGGAAGATGTGAAAAGGAGAAAAGGAGAAAAGGAGAGGAAAACAGAAGTGGTATAGTACAGAACAGGGTAAAAGAAGAAGATTGTAACATTATGGTGAGGAAGCTAGAAGATCCCCATACATGATACATAAATGAATAGTGTATAATTGAATCGAGATAAATTGCGTATTACGTTAAATATTGTCATTTTGGTACAGAATGGTTACAAGTTCATTGATAAACAAAACAAATATGAAAAATTAATGTATATATAAATTAAAGGTATTGATCAAATTGCCATGCTGGCTCACGTCTACCTTGGAATATTACATAAGAACTGAAAAGAACGGCCTTCAATATTTCGTCCCTGGATTCCGGGTACCTAGTTGAGTTAGTGATTTTGAGGATTTCCTTTAGGCGGTATTTATTTTGTGGGGTTAAGAGTCCACGTGAACCGATTTCAATACAGATTAGTTTACTCTTCCACCCTGTTGATGTTATGTCATGTGTGAGGCTTGCGTATTTGTCTTGTTTCCGTTGATGTGCTTTGTCAATGTTAGTTTCGAAGGGGACTGTGAGTTCGATGATGATAATGTCCTTATTTTTGTTGTCAATGTGGCAGATGTCTGGTTTGTGTTGGGTACGTATTATGTTTGGTGGTATGGTGCCCCCATTGATGCTTTCTCCTTCTATGTCTGCATATACTTTGGTGGAATTGTTTGAAGTGTTTTTAATGTGTTTGAGCATGATGCGTAGTATGTTGTTGTGGCGCCAGGTATATCGGTCGAGCATTCTTTCACAATTATTAAGAACATGATGCAGAGTGCCAGTACAATTACAAAGGTTACATTTATCAGATATTCTTTTTCCCCATCGGTACAGGTTTTTGTTAGTAGGAAGACTATCTATTGCTGCATTAACACTGAACTTCATTATACTCTGAGGTAAGTTATAAATAATCGACTTCCAGGTTACATCAGTATTTTCCATATGAACAACTTTCATGAATTCTCCTTGTACAAGTAAAGGTTCGATCACTCTTTTCCAATTTTCTCTACATACATCTTGAACTGCTTTTTTAATCACAGTTTTTGTCTGGTTCCAGCTTACAGAGTCTGGTATTTTTGAGTGAATTTCATGTGCTTCCAAAGAAAACGACGTTTGTCGTGACCATCCCCTTTCCCTCTCTAGTCTTCGGTCAAGGGCGTGATTTACAATATCGTCGCCTTTGACCCTAGATCTACTGTAAGCCAGACAATGACAGGTACGGTAAAGGTCCGCAATGGACGGTATGTTAAAGCCATCAGGATCGTGGACCACAGCAAGATTGGCACCACGTGACGGTATTCCTAACCACATCTTAATATATCTATCTAATATTATATCAAGAGATTTCAGATGCGATGCATGGACATCATGAACGGTAAGCATGTAACGAAGAGACGGGAGTGCATATCTAGTGAGTATACATAATTTATATTCGTTTCGAATGTTACACTTATTAATATTTTCGAGAGTGGATTCTATTTTTCCTTTCAGGTATTCGAAGATTTCAGAAGTTTTCATCGAGAATGTTATGAGTGATCCTAAAAATTTAACTGGATGTCCGTGGACTGAGGATATTACATCGCTTCCGATAGTAAAGTCTACAATATTTGGTTTACCACTCGTTAAAGACAAAGATGAACACTTTCTCGGTTTCAATGTCAAGCCCATACTGTTCAATCGATCGTTGATGCCATTCATGAGTTTTTGGTGTTGTAGTTTGTTCCCCGTTATCAGATTAAAGTCGTCCGCGTAGGGTGTCGTTATTATTTTCCTGTCTCCCCATTTGCATCCGAACTGATCCTGCTGTTCCTTCAGATATTCTAGAACGGGATTAAAACACATGAGAAAAATTGTAGGAGACAGGGGGTCCCCTTGAAATGCTCCGCGCTTGAATTCGAAGGGTTTTGTTATCCATCCGGGGCCTCTTACCCTGCCATTCAATCGTGAATACAGCGTTGCTACGTATCTCGCAACTGGCGTCGGTATTGCGTAACGCTCCATTGATGATGTGATCAGCTGGTGGCTTACACTGCCAAATGCATCCGCCAAATCGAAGAATGTAGTGTGAAGCGATCTTTTCTTGCACTTTGCGTCACTCAAAATTTCATGTAGAACAATATTATGTTCGATGCATCCGTTCACTCCGTCAATAAAAGCCTTTTGAACTGTTTTATCGATAAAGTTATTTTCAGTAAGATAGGACATTGATCTTTCAGCAATAATCTGGTGGAAAACTTTGCTGATACAAGATGTTAACGAAATCATACGAAAGTTTGCTGGCTTATCGGTATCCCCTGACTTATATATGAGCGTTACTTTAGATTCTGACCAACTTTCGGGCGGGTCACCAGAGTCAAGAATCTTGTTATACAGGGTTGCAAGGAAGTGGCGCACAGAATCCAAATGTTTTATCATTCCGTACATAAGGCCATCATTTCCAGGTGCTGACATAGCTTTTTTTCCGTCTTAACACATTTTTAACATCTTTCGGTTTAATTGGAGTCATGTCAAACTCGAAGCGGTCAGGGGTATTAATATTCACAT